CTTTATTAGAACTGCAGTCTGATACGAATACATAATGGGGAAACATAAAAATAACGTAGAGAACAAAGAAAGAATGCTTTATGTTTTTTGTCATCGAAGAACTGTCAAAAAGGTTTTTGGATCTGCCGGTTCATGACAACGGATGCCTTCATATAGATGTAAAGGAACAGATTTGTGAACAGAATTTGGGAATCCATGTAATGCACTCGCTCTCTGGAGTTAACCTTACGCTAAAATATTAACAACATACAAAATACGCAACATTTTCAAGACTGCCACAGTCAAGAATGAAATTAGAAAATCACCAACACGTCGAGATTGTACAAATAGAATAATGTTAGGAATACAAAAAAGGAATCATAAATAAGAGAAAATAAAACGTCTGCCTGTGACGTGAGCTTTGCAGCAGCCTTTCAACACCCACCTTTCTCACCCTCTCTTCCCAGCCTACCTCCCCCCCTCCTCCCTCCCTCCCTCCCCCCACTTCCCGCTCTCCCCGCCCCCATTCGCCCCGCGCGCCCGGCCCCTACGAGTCGCAGGTGGCGTGGCCGGGGCGTCGGGGGGACGCAGCCGTTGTACGTGATGGACACCGTGGTGGCGTGGTCGGTGCTGGTCACGAGGACGTCGTGGGTGAGGACGGTCGTCGAGCGGATGGTGATGACCTGGTCCTGGAGCAGCCTGGCGGAGCGGAAGGAGGAGCCGGGGGCGTCGCCAAGCGCCGGGCAGTCGCAGGAGGGCATCACGACCTCGGCGACCTCGTACGTGGAGCTCTCCGAGCCGTCCTGCGCGGGGAGCGCCGTCACGCTGGAGGAGAAGGAAGGGAGCGCGTGAGGAAGCCGCTCTCGCTCGCCAGATGATTATGACTAGATAAGAATATCAGCAACAGTAATGATAATGATAATAACAATAACCATAGTATCAATTATAATGATAATGATGATAATGCTAATAATAATGAGGATGATAATGATAATAATAATAACAATAATAACACTACTACTAATAGTAATAATAATGATAATCATAACAATGATAATAACACTAATAATAATTATAATAACAATGATAATAACACTAATAATAATTATAATAACAATGATAATAACACTAATAATAATAATAATAACAAAACACTAATAATCATAATAATAATAACAACGATAATAACACTAATAATAATAATAATAGTAATAATAACAATGATAATAACACCAATAATAACGATGGTGATGATAATAACTATTGTGATGATGGTAAAGATCGTAATAATAATATTCATTGTAATAATAATCATGAAAATGATGACAATAATAATAATAATAATGACAATGATAATAACAACGATAATAAGGATGATGATAGTTATTGTGAACATATCAATAACGACAGTAATAATGAAAATAATAATAATAGTAACAGTAATGGCAGTCATGAGTTCACTGATAAAACCAACACAAGCCATTCCTCGGCTCTAGCAGCCCTTCCGGAGCCCCAGAAAAGCTAGGGCCGCGCGGGGGGCGCCTGGACCGCCCGGCCCGCCCCTGAGCCTCACCTTCCCCTGAGCGGCGCCCGCGAGGCCTCCGGATGGATCATGTGACTTAGGTTCGGAACGTGGGCGTCGCGGCAGGCCGACACGCCCGCGACGGAGGTGGTGCAGGTCGGGTAAACCACCACCGTGTAGGTCGAGGTGGACACGGCCGTGTGCAGGACCTTCTCGAGGGTGAGCTCGCGCGTCTGCTGACTCTGCCGAAGGGCCTCCTGCTCCGCGCGGAGGCCGGGCGTCAGGAGGGCGAGCGTCAGCAGGAGCGCGGCGGCGAAGTGCGTGGAAGTCAGCATTTGGGCGGCTTTCTCGTCCGGATTTTCGTTCTCTCTGGAAGGAAGAGAAGCAACAGCCATGAGGAAAGTTGCGATGATTATGATCTTATCGCCGTCAGCGGCATCGTCGTTAGGTTCATCATTTCCCGTTGCTAGTATTGCTATTACATCCAAATTTTTTTTATCACCATCATAGTAATCAGTCAATTACAATGTCTAAACTTCAATAACCTGATTTCATTATCGATGAAACAGTTGTGATCGTCAAAGTAGTAATTAGGAAGCATTAGTTGTAAAAAAGGTACTGGTGTGTTTCTTTGCTTTTGAAAGAAGGCATTTGCTTGTATTTTCAAAAAATGAAATTGATAATAGAAGATAGTTCTTGACGTGGGAAAATAATGAAAAGAAAAAGGAGAAAGCAAAACCGCCAAGGTACGAATGGTCAAGAAACTTGAAGCCCAAGCCCCCCCCCCCCCCCAGGCCTGCCGCAAAACCAAAATCGCCAGCAGATCACGGGCGCCCTCATTCCGGCGCGCTGCGACGCCCATCGCAGCGCAGGAGGAGGCTGTCGTGTACCGCACGGCGCCGCCGGCAGCGTCAGCGTGAATTTTTGTTGTGTCACTTGCGCGCTCTTTTCCTCCCTCCCGCCCCCTTTCTCCCGCAATTAACCCTCGCCCCTACTCTC